ACCAGAGCGTGTTATGAGCTGATGTCAGCAGCACTAACTAACGTCAGTTGCTTATATCAGCTGCTGACGAGTATGCGTTGCGTTGTTTTAACGCATTTGCAGCGCAAAATTCATATTCCTTTAGTGAAAGGGAAACGTTTAATTATCGATAGACATTCAATTTTTGAATTGGTCGTTATCTCTTATCAGTTACGCCAAAAATGATGAGAAAAAATGTCGCCTCGGGCATTGTTCGCCCCAGGGACAGACAAAGCGTTAACAATAAATCCCACTTATTTGAAAAAAATCCTCAATATTTTGATGACATTCTTCAGGAAATCAAACAATCAAATTTGGTCTCTACAGTGCAAATGCTCAATCGGCAACTACAAAATGATTTACCAACACACACTGGGCACACCAGCATCAAAACTATGAGCCGTTAACGTTCTTCTATACGAATGTGCCCCATATATGAATGTTTTGGAGCGAAAATGTAATTCAGAAAAGTTGAACGGAAAAATGTCGATGATGAATGAGCGGAAAAGGGATAGCTATATAGTATACTGTATAGTAAACTATAGCGAACTATATAGCTATCCCTTTTCATTCGACATTTTTCCGCTCAACTTTTCTGTATTACATTTGTGCTCCAAACCATTCATATACATGTGGGCATGTATGTGGGCAAATTACTATACACAGCACATATGCATTTTTTGGTTGGAAATCTCTCGGAAAAGCGCTACTATGGAAAATCGGAAAATCGGGGAAGATTCAGACCAGTCTTTATCGATCGGGCGGAACATTTGATGTGAAGTAGTGACCCAAAGGGCGATTTTCCAGCGAAAAAATCATCCCATACTTCGTTTTCATTCGGTTTGCAACACAGCAGTGACGCGCGTGGTATAATTTTGAACTATTTTTATGACTTGTCAAATACTTCAGCATTCCAGTTTTACCACGCAAAAATTCACCACCTACTTATTCATTTGTTCTGAGTAATAATTATCTCATATTTAATAATTTATTCTTTTGTTGCAATAAATACAAGCATTTTTCAGAACTAAAAATGAGACACATTTTTTTAAAATCAGAAAGACATTTTACGTATAAAAACTGGAAATTTCATATAAGGCCTGTAGACACATTTTCTTAGTTGAAGAAATTCACTGAACAGTGTAAATAATACAAAAAATCGGAGCGCGTAAATCACTGACATCAACTTACAATTGAATTTCACAATATTTTTTGACTATTGCAATAACTACTTGACCAATACTTAATCATTCTTCCTATTTGTAGACATGAGTTTCTAATGAGAATACTGAAGCAGGCCTCTATTCTTCATACTGATTAACTGATAGCTCTTTTCACCTCAGAGTTTATGGTGAAAAGTAATTATTAATTCTGCTGTATCTGTCATTGCATTTATTCGTACAGATTTACGGACAATAACATATTATTAACTATACTTAATAACATAATAATAACGGCGGTATGTTTGGTCCAACATAACATAATAATAACGGCCGATATGTTATCAACATATCGACATATTATCTTAATAACGATAAAAAAAATCGCAAAAAAAAGTTTCATGTAAAAAACAGACGAAATGTTTCATACAAAAATCATGTCAAATTTTGCCAGACACATTTTTTTCAACATTTTTTCGTCTTTTTCAGACAATAAATTGACATGTTTTTTACATGAAACTTTTTTTTGCGATTTTGTTGGTCGTTATTAAGATAATATGTTATTATCATGTCAAATCTTAATAACGTTATTAGGATAAAAAAAATTCCAACATAACATAATAATAAATATGTCGGGCAATAACATATTAACCTTAGAACCGTGAATCGGGCACTGAGTGCCCAAGACCAACTTTAAACACTTATATGTTTATCATTTTTCATCATAAAAGATTTACACAAAGATGGTTCGATTTGTTGAACATTTGACTACATGAATTGCGCTAACATACTCACATACGCATACTACGTCATCACATATGTGCATAAGCATGTGTGATGCGCTATCCGTGAATCGGGTGCCTGAGTGCCCAAAGTGCATTTTTGTATAAAAACCAGAGTGTAATAAGAGATAAAAGATTTGTGTTCTGAGCAAAGTTATAGAGCATGTCAAGTACTACAATATTTGTACAAATTCAATTCCATTATCTCTTATCAGTTCCGCGAAATATGCAAAAACGCGGAAGACGCGTATTTTTTGTATCCAATTTTTTAATGGACTGATAAGAGATAAAAGATATCTGTCCTCAGCAAAGTTGTAGAACTGGTTGAGGTCTACAACATCCCCGAAGACTTTAACTTGTTATCTCTTATCAGTTACGCGAAAAATGATAACATAAAAATCGCGTTTTTCGCGGTTTTCCGCATAATTGATAAGAGATAAGGAGATAAAATCTTCAAAAATATTGTAGAACTTGTCCCGCTCTACAATTTTGTCCCAGACAGATATCTCTTATCTCTTATCAGTTGCGCAAAATACGCGAAAAACCGCAATGACCGCGGAAAATACGGGTTTTTTACTTGTCATTTTTCGCGTAACTGATAAGAGATAACAACTTGGTGTCTTCGGGAATGTTGTAGAACTCAACCTGTTCTACAACTTTGCTCAAGACAAATATCTCTTATCTCTTATCAGTTCTGTAAAAAATGATATGGAAAATCTCGCGTTTTTCGCGTTTATGGCGGTTTTTCGCGGAACTGATAAGAGATAACGGAAGTGTTTGCAAGAATATTTTAGTACTTGACATGCTCTATAACTTTGCTCAAGACACAAATCGTTTATCTCTTATCAACTCTAGTTTTCATACAAAAATGCACTTGGGGCACTCAGGCACCGGTTTCACGAACAACGTTATAAAATCGAAGGTCCTGCATCTAAGCGTCTGACAGCTCACTTCTAGCGCTACGAGACAAGTGTCAAAAGTTGTGACACAGATCGTTCAATGTATTATTGAATCTTTTTTATATTTGTTAATAAAGTAGACAAAAAAATAAAAACGTCACGAATGTGCAAAATTGATTTTTGTGAGAGCGTAGCACGTGATAAGCATCAATTTTATAAGTGAAAAATGTTTCTTTCATTACAGAACATTGTTGATGCGTTCAATTTGTCGCGTTCATGAAAGCGTCTAACGACGTAAAGAATTGAAATGAACTTCACTAAATAGGCTCATCGCAAATTCGTGTTTTACTTTGTTTTGTTAGTGTGGTGCAGGGGTTGTGTATAAAATAGGTTTCACGGTTTGAAGGTTAATAACATATCGAAAATGTAAATCTGTATTTATTCGTTGGCGCTAGTATAACGTCACAAACCTTTCACGGTTTTCTCGACTTTGTAAGGATTTTTGTTGATGCAATTGGGGTATGAATCATCCATTACTGAGATAAATAAAAAAAAAACTGGTCGACATTTCTGAATTTTTTCATTGTGTCAACCCCCGAAATGAAATGCAGACAAAAAAAATAGATATTCAAATATGAGACAACGCATTTTTTTTACTATTTCGCGCAGTTCTTGAGGTTCATAGCCGTTTTATTTCAAAAAAGTTCGGCTCGTTCCGCTCGCAATAATATATTTGCAAATTTTCATTGCAAAGGGTGTAATAAATAACAGGAATTATAGTCTTTGTCCATATACCTTTCTCGACATATTGGAAGATTAGTTACTCAAAATACGTATTTGAAGCTATAAAGGTAAATAGCGGCTCAAAATATTTCAATGAGGAAGGAAAGTGTGTCGATGCATTTATTTGTGTCTGTAGACAAGCACGTTATGATTCCTCACTGATAGGGTGGGTCATTTTTTTGAATTTTAAAGAGGTCACTTGGTAAAAGTTCCTCGATCGAACCCTGATTTCAACACAATTGACAAAAATGTAGTTTCCTATGACGACAGTTTGTTGACTTCAAGAGGCGTGGAGACCGTTTCCTGCCATTTTTCTATGAAGCCACGGAATTCTGTATGCGTGAAGGCTAGCACAAAATCACATAATATTTTCGTTTACAGCGCCTACATTCCACCAAACTTTCAGAATCTTATTTTTTCGTCAGAAAAACTGGAACTCATGAAAATTTGAAGCCAACCGAATGTGATTTGAGGATACCTCGCATACAAATTTTCTCATTTTTGCCAATGACTAACATTTCTTCACATTCAGCATACTGTTAATTTTTGTTTTTGATTACGACACATATGTAAATATATCATCATTACTGATGCGATAAGAAGGATATTTACACTAGATAGAATGAGTTTTGAAAATCCAATCGGAATTTTTTTTAAATTTCGTCTCCCAATTTGAAAATTTCAATTTCGACCCCACTGGTCGCTAGCTTATCTAGAACTATATTAAATTAACACTTAAAAACGAAATATCTGGCTGGGTCCGGATGTCGGTAGTACCGACTCGGTACGAGGGTTAATAAATATTTCGAACATTCACCGTGAATATTTTCTTCGGCTGAGTTTATAACTAAAAATCGGTCATACGTACAAAATTTGACAATTTCTACAAAATATCAAGCAAAATGATTTTTTTTATCTTGACTATTTCATGTCTTTGACAATCTAGACAAAAAGATTTTAATATTTATGTAAAATAATTTTAAGATTTGGAAAAAGTTCTGTCAGTTGGGATTTTTCAATGAGGGTAGTGTTGGCTATTGTGATCTTTCTCCATGTGTTTTCTATGGTGTTCAATTTATTGGATATTAAAGCTTACAATTCAATCGTGCAGAAATTTTCATTTCGCGCATATAGTGCGATCCAGTTAAAAACTGGTTTTCACATCTTATATGGCCTTTATAGCTACTACAGGTTTTTGTTCTTTTCTCGCTATTGGGTATAATTTCGATTATTAGAACAAGTTTTTCTGATTCAATCATTGTATGTTAAAGCCAATTTCATACGCAGCTTTGATAATTAGTTTAAAAAATTGTATTCAGATGATCAACCAAATCAGTAAGAACACGAAAAAATAAACTATCACATCATTCAATATTCTTCGTAAACATTTTTTCTACACTTACACGTGAAGAATTATTCCGAGCGTTGTTTATTACGTTATACATACAGTTGTTTGCTGTTGTATGTGCTATTTACAAAGACTAAATTTGTTTGTTTATTTACTCGTATATTTTGTTCTCTACCTTTTGGCACATATGAGCGAACATCAAACACGTTTACTTGCTATTATATATTTTGCCTATTCATAGTGTGAGTTGCTTTCAGAATTTCCTGTGTAGTGTCTGAAAAAATTCACCTAATACGTTTGATAGGTTCCATCGTCAACAAGAAGAACTATACCATCAAACAGTGCAGAACTACATATGTTTATTTTAATTTGGTTTGGCTATTTCTTTTCACAAATACTCTGAAAAGCGCTTAAGATGGAAGAAAATATAGCTACACATGTATGTATATTTTCAAGTTTTCAGCTTATTCATGCTACAGTGATACACACAAGTATCGACTTTTTACACAAATAATTCACAAACACAAATCGCACTCAATGCTAAAAAAATACAGTCATATCGTCAACATCGCACACATGAACAGCCATACTAGTATGGGTTCGAATCGGTTAAAGTAGGGAATTTGCCGCTATAAATATTATAACATTTAGTAAATAAGGTGAATTGTATTAGTCTTTTAGCTTTGGAACGAAAGCAAGCCAATCATATCCGCGGCAAACAATCGCGCTGCTACTCAAAAGCAATCGTTCAACTTAGTCAAAGATTTTTTTTCAATTTTTGAAGTGACGAAGACAAAATACAATAAAAAAAATTGTAGAATAAACTTTTTTGTGCAAAAATTCAAACAGGTTGAAGCAAAGGCAGGAAACAATGTTGGTTTTTACTGTAATTTGTACATTGCTTAAAATGAAAGAGCAAAACAATGAATATTTAGATTACTTTAGTGACAATGAAATGATCGAAGTGTCAATGAAAATATTCAACGCCAATTGTGTTGATTACACATAATTATTAAATTTCTTAAATTAAGAAATGAAGTTTATTCACAAAATGTCGATCCAGGCAAAGTACCATGTGGAAAAGTGAGTGCTAAAAAGCGAGTTAAATTTTGGAATAACAAATTCAAATCAATATTTAGGTTTGTCATTTTACTTAAATGTTATGACTTTTTAACAGATATGGACATTATTGTCGATCTCAATATTTCTAACTATTCCCGGCACCGGTAAACATAAGTCTACCATAGATGAACTCTTTGATGTTTGTTCATTATTACTGGCATGAAAAAAAATTCGGGATTTAATTTTGCCTGACACCGGACACCTGACACGATTTTGATTAAGAGGTTTGAAAGAGAAAAATTGAGAAATATTTCTCGGTCATTTTGTTAAGCAGCCTATTTAATATTGATTTCATTAAAAAAATTGACTTCTTCAATATTCCGTTACTATCAATTTCAATTAATATACAGGGGTCGTACAATTTTATTGAAATTTCTTATATTTGTGATATGTTAAAAGTAAAATTGTAAGTTAAATGTCACTATGAATAGAGAATAATACGAGTGATCAATAAGAGACAATATTCATTCAATAAATTTTCACATGATTCATCATATAATACACATATGTATATGTTTGGAGCGAATTTAATTTAAACGATAATTCATTCATTGTAATTTATTATTATAACACAATAAAAGTAAAGTGCCAAAATCAAGCGTTCTTTGTTGCTTTTTTTCAAACGAAGATTTCAGATTTAATTTTAATAATCATGTGTAGGTCATTGTATTTTGCATTGCAGAACCATGGATTTATTCGATATTCTTAAGACAAGATAGAATTTTTTACACAAAAAAATTTAGTGGCGTACGTGATACGCGGCAGAATTTTTCAGCGCCGATATTCAGATCAATATAATTAATCATGATTGCCAACGGGACTTATAATACAACAACTTATTGGCAACTGATAACGACACAAAGAAGTGGCAAAAGTTGTGAAACTGGAAAATGATACACGCAACTTGAAAAACGACTCAACTTAAAACAGAACACTACTCCTCAAGAGAGTTTATTTACGCGGCCTGCATGTACCCATTTTAATTTTGATAATTCATAATATAAATATAAATATATTCTATCATGGAACTCTTGAAATTGATATACAGTTATTTAGCTTCCGAAATCGTTCCAATTTCACAATTTAAGTTTTTGCTAAATATGAAATATTGCCAATTATTGAGGCAGTGGCTTTAATTAATAATTAATACATCGTTTCGGTGGCATTTATATAGGGAAAAAACTTAACCAAAGATTAATCTATACGATAACGAGCATCTTCATTTCATGTAAACCAGTTTACTTTGTCATACGTTTCGTGAGAACGTATGTGTGCGCTTGAAAAATATATAATACGTATATGGGCTGTTTCTGTTTCATTTTGAGTATAGTTTTTTTTATTTCTTAGTGACACATTTTCTCAAAGCTTCGATTTTGTTTCACTTCATTTCTGAACAGCTGACTGTTTTTGAAATGCCAAGCAAGAAAAAACAAGTAATCTATTCATGTTGCTATTAATATGATATCAACGAATCGATTTTCACAGGTAGAACAAAAATAAGTTTGGATTTTTTCTTAGTGTTTCATGTGAACCTAGATTTCAAACCATAAGAACTTTTAATGTAACATTATTACTTGACAATTTCGACGCTACGTTGCTGAACAGCTGACTCTATTCAAAATGTCAAAAAAGAGAATGCGGCCATTCAGTTTGTCTTGCTAAGATATCAACAACTTGATTGACATAGTGTATGGTAGAGTAAAATATGGATATTTGCTTTTGGATAACCGATCGTTCGTAAATTTCATCATTCGGCAAAGCTCAAACGTGACAGAACACAAGTGAGAGCGAATTTGGTAAGGCGTGTTTTGAATACATCAACATTTTCTTCAAGTTTAGGTTACATTTATCTGTATTTGTGTGTTTTCAAGTGGTTTTTGTCGAAATCATCATTTATATCATTTTTTCAACAGCGTAAATAATTCACAATGAGGAAGTCCGAAAATTCAGCATTGTCACTGAAGACAAAAACATTGCCACAACTATTTGTTTTCTTTTATTAATTTGCAGAAAATTGCAACTATTCTGCTACTGAAGAATACTATGAAAAAGTGTACCAAACGAATCTCATCCCAAGAAAAGAAGATGGACTTAAGCAAGCAATTTCCCGACAAAAGGTGCCATTGGAATCAAATTTTTGAATTAAAATAGTCAATAATATATTTGTCTGTGCGGAAACAAAGCGCCAGACTCATAAGAAATTCATGCAGCTACTATCATGAAATAGGAACGGTCTTGAAAATAAATGGTCTGACTCTTAGGTCATATTCTGTAATAATAAACAAACGTTTATGAAATTTTCTCTCCATCAATTGTTAGAGTCACCACCGCATTAAAATACTACGATGGAATAAATGCATCGACAAGTTAGTCAAACTGTATGAATCGACGAAAACGATCTAGAAAAAAAACCGACATTTCGAAGAATTATCAGTCTTTTTGAATAATTTGGACGATTTGATGCGAGAACCCGAAGTCATCATATCAAATGTGTCAAAATCTACATGATTATAAAACGTTACGCTGAGAAGTCAACGGTTCATGTCATTTAGGAGAATTTACGAAGATATTAAAGACGTAGCGCATCCAAATCAAGGAAATGTAGGCTCTTGAAATTATGTGAAATGTAGGCCACGATGCTAAAGTCCAGAATATTAAAATCTGTAATCTGCAAAAGCAGTGTTCGAGCCTAACTAGAGCCATTGATTGAACTTTTTAATTTTTCGAATACTTATGAAAAAAATTCAAAAAAGGTACTTTTATATGGGGTTTTCGCCTATGTTGTTATTTTTTTCTCGAAAAAACGGAGGTTTTGTAACAACGGAAAAAACACATTTACCACATTTTGAAAGATAGGGTTCATGGTTCATTAACCCGAAGAACAAATATGTTCCGTTCTGAATAGTCCTAACTTTTCTTTAAAGTAATGGAAAATGATTTCAAAAACAGCACAACAACAATGTTTAAGTAGCTTTCAGTCCATGAATATAATTTATATTTATTTTTTGATTTGTGAACTAGATTAATTGCTTCTGTGTGATTTTTTTCATTTTTATATTTATATCATGTCAAGTTTTTGTTACTACCCATTTTGCGCATAAAAACACTTTTTGTGGCATTTTAGAATTTTTAATTTTTCTCATTTCAAATTTCCAAAAGCTGTGGTATACGGTGACCAATTTCTAGTTGGTTTTTCAAGGATATATATGTTTCAACGATACCGCACCCTATTTAGTGCAAAATATGTCATTTCTCTTTTTTTCACTCGAATCGTTTGACTAATACCTTAATGTTTTATATTCCTTCAGCTCGAACTATTCGACAATTCGACAATTCGACAATCAATTTTCGAAACAATAAATTGCACTACTTTTTACTTTCATAACTTATTTGAATTTATTTTCATTCCGACATTATTAAAGTCAATTATTTCATAAAATTATTTTAAAATAGATTCGATGCGATGGCCTCAAACTTTTTAATCAACAATGTATACACACAAAATGGTTTTCGTTCACGTATCTCTCTTGGCATACACAATATTTTTGGTACAGATTCTTTCACACGATTAACCTACTTTTCATGTATTCGCGAATGCACCATCATACACTGTTAGCACACAAGGAATTTTGATAGTTTCATGCGAACGTCGATTTTAGAAGCAATTTAAAGGCCAATCAGGTCCATATCCATTTCGATGATAGTTTATTGAATCCCACAGAAAATATGTATGCGGTGTTGGTCAAATTTCAACGTTCTGAGCTAACAAATTCTTTTTAATATCTCCTACTACCTTTTTGCAAATTTTCGAACATCATTTTATGTGTACATAAGCAATGTTTACATCATCTATAGCAAAAGCGAGTAGAGGACGAATATAACCACAGTCAGCGTATTACGATATGTCCGTCTCTCATCATCTCGTATCTTACATTTGTACCAAACGAACAAATCCATTTGTGCGCATTGAATTTTTCCATGCTGTTCGACTTTTGGTATTTTGCAAGCTATTTTGTGAAAAAGTACGAGAGTGAGTGAAGAGAAATGGATATTTCAATGCGCATGTTTGTTTTTTGACAAAAGAATTTCCAATTTGGAAATAGTATAATTTTCCAATTCCATCAAACTGGAATATGTGAGTTTAAAAACGTTAATAATACTGTTTGAAATTGTTTTTTATTTATTTTTATCTTCATTAAAGAAACAAAAACTACCACATTTTATATATTTTATAGTATAAATGGTATTTAGCTTTTAATTTATGAAATGGTTTTTTTAATTGCATTTTTTATTTTTTTTGTTTGTTGTCTTATCTGCATCGGAATCATTTTCAGTATGCATCGGCTTAATATTGAGAAAGATTTGCTTTATTTTAAATTATTTTTTGAAAAGGAAAGAAAAGAACAGCGATTCGAATTCATGTTGCCTTTATCTTTTTGGGGTATGAAGTCCTCTTACTATGATGATTTTAGATATTTAATACCCGACATTCACTTAGTTGTAAAGATCATCATCTCCATCGGCTTGTCGATCTGCTTGACCACTGTTACCAGAGTTCGAATTCCCTTGTGACGAACTGCCCGAAGGTGGAGCACCAGCAATACCACCAGTTGGAAAACGGAAATTCGTTCCGAAGCCACGAGATTGTTGCAAGGTTTGAGCAAACATTTCGTATTTGCGGATATCGTTGTCACTGACAGACCGACGTGCAAATTTCATAGCTTCCTCGAAATGTGCACGTGTGATTTCTGGAACCGGATCGTCTTCGTCCATCTATTATTTAGCAAGAAGTCGTAATTTATTTATATGTGGCACGTTTTGAATTATTGACTGAATTAAGGATTTTGAATCTACTCACATCCATAGCTGACTGTTGATTTTCTGCCCGTTCGCGCTCTCGTTTGATATCAGCTTCAATCGCATGTCTGATAGCCAATTTACATGCGCGTTGACAGATTTCGGTTAAATCTGCTCCGGAGAAGCCTTGTGTAACCTTTGCAATGTATGTTAAATCAACTTCTTTGGCCAACGGACTCTTACGAAGATTTGCCTTTAAGATTGCTTCACGCGATTTTTCATCAGGCAATGGAATATAAATAAGTTGATCCAAACGTCCTGGACGCAAGATTGCCGAATCGATAATGTCTGAAAATGAAAGAATAGAAACATATTGAAGTAAATAAAAGTCAAAAAAGCCAAAAAAAACTATTTTTTTTTGCAAAAATGCTACAGCCAATTTGTGGGAGCAAATAAATAACTAAATAATTCGTACCCGGTCGATTCGTGGCTCCGATAATGAACACATTTTTCTTTGCGCCCATGCCATCCATTTCAGTTAAAATCTGATTGATCACACGATCAGCAGCACCGCCAGCATCACCAACATTTCCACCTCGTGATTTAGCAATGCTATCCAATTCGTCGAAGAATAGTACACATGGGGATGCTGATCGAGCCTTATCGAAAATGTCCCGCACATTAGCTTCAGATTCACCAAACCACATGGTCAGCAATTCGGGTCCCTTAACCGAAATGAAATTTGCTTGGCATTCGTTTGCAATTGCCTTAGCTAACAATGTTTTACCACAACCTAATGAAACGCAAAAGAATTAATTTTGAAATTAAATTTTAAATTACATCATAATATAATCTTTTACCTGGTGGCCCATAGAATAAGACGCCGCGTGATGGCTGCATGCCAAATTTCAAGAACTTATCTGGATGCTCAACTGGATATTGAACCAGTTCTTGCAATTCTTTTTTGACACTTTCCAAGCCACCAATGTCAGTCCAACTTACATTAGGCACCTCAACAACCGTTTCTCGCAATGCTGATGGCGAGGACTTTGTCATTGCGTAACGGAAGTTATCCATAGTAACAGCCAATGAATTTAATACCTCGGCATCAATTTGATCGTCTTCAAGATCAATTAAATCCATTTTTTCACGAATTTGCTGTAAAGCTGCTTCTGAACAAAGTGATGCCAAATCAGCTCCAACATGGCCATGTGATTCAGCTGCGATTTGTTCTAAATCGACGTCATCGGCTAAGCGCATGTTTTTCGAATGGATTCTTAGCACCTCCAATCGGCCAGTGGCATCTGGTATACCAATGTCAATTTCGCGGTCGAACCGTCCAAAGCGACGAAGTGCTGGATCAATTGAATTTGGTCGATTTGTTGCTGCCATAACAATGACGTGTGAGCTCTTCTTCATTCCGTCCATCAAAGTTAATAGTTGCGACACAATACGACGCTCCACTTCTCCGTGTGTCTTTTCACGTTTTGGTGCTATAGCATCTAGTTCATCGATGAAAATAATAGCCGGTGAATTTTTTTCGGCTTCCTCGAAAGCTTTCCGTAAATTCGATTCAGATTCACCAGCCAATTTGGACATGATTTCAGGACCATTGATCAAAAAGAAAAATGCGCCGGTTTCATTAGCCACGGCACGAGCAATCAATGTTTTACCTGAAAAATGAATAGATAGAAATAAATTGTGGACTATGTTAAAGGATTCAAAGGCAATTAATGATAGAATTTTGATGAAAGTAAATACCAAGTACCTGTTCCTGGTGGACCGTACATTAAAATTCCACGTGGTGGTTTCACACCGATCGCCTTAAACAGCGAAGGATGTCTCAGTGGAAGTTCAACCATTTCTTTGATCTGAGCCAATTGTTTACGACAACCACCAATGTCATCGTAGCCTACTGCATTCAAAGCTTCTTCTTCCTCTTCACGTTTGATTGGATCGCCTTCGCAATGTAAAACTGTTTCCGGGGCTACAATACAATATGGTGATGGATCAGTACCTACCACCTTAAATTCGACGGCTCGCATTCCACCGCGCACTAAGAAAGTATCATCTTTGTGAATGGGACGATATGCTTCAAGGAAGTAGGGTTTCAAATACACCTCAAACACATTCCTAATTCAAATAATATAATAGCTTATTTGGGAACGTTCGCTAAATTTATTCAAATCTATACTAACCCAGTTAAACCTTCGACAGTGTCATCGATAGGCAAAATGTGCACTCGACTGCCATATTTGACATCTGGACATGATTGAATCGAAACAACATCACCCAGACGAACGCGTAAATTGTTACGCACGACGCGATTCATACGAATCTTCTCATCCGGACAGTTGTCGTCGGAAAGAACAATACAAACGGTTTCCTTGCGCCGTTTTCCCTTCAGTAGAACAGTATCGCCTCGGAACAAACGGAGCTCATCCATTTTCGCCTGTGACAATGATACCACTGAATTGTCATCATTAACTGCTTCCTCAACCAATAAACGGTTTGGGCGATCTTTACGCTTCAAAATTGCGGTTGCCAAATCATCACTGTGAAAATGCAATCAAAATGAAACAAATAAATACACATAAAAGCGATGTAATTTTTTTCAGAAGAGAATAGAAAAAAAAACAGATCAGATAAGGAAGCTTGACTTATTTAACCTCACATTTTATGCATGACCGACAAAATTCATTAAAAACATGATATAACATAAAATATTTTAGACAATAAAAAGAAAAAGTGCGAGATAAGTTCAATAGTTTATCTTTGACTTTTGTAACACTTTTTGTCGTTGTAATATAGTTAAATTTCGATAAGAAGACTTTTTACACAGGAAAATATTTTGTGTATAACAATCACAAGCAAAAAATTGTTGAACGAAAAAGTTCAGATTTATTTGTCTAAAGCCGTCGTAGGAGTTCTTTTACCGGTTTCAATAAATGTTTGTGTAATTTAATTCAATTCTGTATTTAGGAAAGGATGCTGCTTTTTGTTTGGTTTTGTTTAATATACCTCTTATGATCAACCATATTTGTTAAAGTTTTTGTTCGAAATTTAATGAGAAAAAAATCGAATGAATGAGAACTTGTAAATATGTTGTTTCAAATGAAAAAGCAAAACTTTAGTGAAATCGAATGATGATGACCTGAACTAACTAACAATGTACACTCAGCAAAGCTAAAAGTGGAGTTATTCCGGCCTTTATTGTCAGATGACAAAACATTCAGAACATGTACTAAAATGATTCAGCAATCGGCAGCGACAATATTATGCCATTACTTTTCAAATGATGCAGCTTTACACAAACTATTTCATCCATAAATTTCAAAAGGAAACTTTTCCACATAATGGAAAATGGAATTCGATCTATATAATAATTACTATTTATATTTCATTTGTGGATAAAATATTTTTAAAAAAATTATGGGCAATATGCAACAAAGCATTTTTTGTATAAATAATTATTTCAACACCATTGTTGCGTTTCAAATTGCGTTTGTATCGGGGATTAGAACAAATCAACTAAAATCTCTCTACTCATTACCCTTTATGATCAGCCATTTTCGTCTCAAAGATTATCTTAAATTGTAGATGACTTTAATGAAAAATTATGTTTTAATATTTATTTAATTTTATTTTTTATGTTTGATGGATATTTCAAATGAAACTTTATTCGAAAAGGAGTTTATAATTTATACACTGTATTTCAATAAAAATTATATCGCTAAATAACGAACTGCAAATATATCCAATAAACTTGTCTTCGGAACTGAACTGTAATGAACGCTCAACGATGACAATCCAAAATTCATATTCTCATGAATGACATTTAGTATGATAGCCTTTGGTATTGCCGTATTGAACTAACACGTAGTCACTCTACTGGCGGTGTACTAAAGTAATGGCCGGTTTACAATTTGTGGTTAGCTGAAAACTTTCCAAAAAAATACGTGCATAGTATAAGATATTACTAGATTAATTGCTTCTGTGGAATTTATTTCATCTTCATATCATGTCAAATTTTTAGTATTACCCGTTTTCTGCATTTATTTATTTATGTGAAAAATAAAATAAGTAATACCAAATTTACTTATTTTACAAAGAAAAGTAGGTACTATTTTAGGACCAAACATAGATTGTATAAAAACACTTTTTACGAAAAAGAAATATTTTAAAAGCTTTAATTTTTCTTTATTTAAAATTAACAAATATTTTGAGACATAATAACTAATTTTATATGATTTTTTTACAAATGATAATAACAAAAAAATGATCACATTATTTTAATCTAGTCTTTTAGTCTTTTCAGGTAACTGTAGCTCTCGATGCTCTTGCCACTTTTTTATTGCTCCTCGCTTATTTTTACAGTTTGCATAGTATTTTTGGTGTTTCTAGGGCCCAAACGCTTTTCACTTCTTTATTTGCCACTAAGTTTTGTAAGTGTCTTTCATCTGGAGATATAGAAAATGGAAATTCAGTTTATCAATAATACTAATCAGAAATATCAAAATATCTTATTCATCAATAAAAATATACATACCCTTTGATTTTCCATATTGTTGGAGAATTGGAAAAATTTCATAAACTGGTACTGACATATTAATGTTAGGATAAATCAGCTGATAAGCATCATCTTTTGAATTCGATACGGTGATACCGATCAAATGACCATCATCTGTGAACATTGGCCCACTGTGAACATTATTTAAATAAAAATAAACCAATTTTATATTATTGTATAAATTAAATTCGTTTCAAGCATAAACAAAAACATATACATATGCTTTAATGGTAATTATGTACATGTACAGGAACTTCGTTATAGTTTCCCTAGTTATTAAATAGACCTACCCACTTTGCCCACTTTGCACACTAGCATCGCTGAATATCACACCTTTAGAAATCTTTGTTATTCGACCTTCAAAAATGCTTGGAAAAAAGTCGTGTACTTTGCCCAAACTGGTAAAGAAGAGAGTAAAAAATTAGTTTACATTATTCGTTGTGTGGCTGACATCAATAAAATCGTTACTAACCTGGTGAAATGTGGAAAGCCTGATGAGTACACCGTTTGGCCAATTTTCGTAGGTATTGTATAACACTTTGTGAAATACAGTTCGGGAACATTTGGTGGCGCTTCTAAAATCGCTATATCAAAAGCTTGGTCAAAGTGTGGATTTTTGAAAATAATTTTGCTTTCAAAATGACCAAACTTCCAAGTGCAACGTACATTCCCATCATGATTCTCCAATACATGAGCACAAGTGATGATCATTCGAACTTCATTGATTTGGACAAAACAACCACTGCCCCAGCTGTCTGCACTTTGTATCAACACGATGAAATTTTCAAACTTGTATGAATCTTTGCTAACACAATTCGAAGCTTTACAATTCACTTTTGTGTTATTTATATATTTGACGTTGTTGCAGCTGTTATATTCGTTTTCAATATTAATTGAAGTTAATTTGCTTTGTTCAACAAATTCGGCCATAATTTCATTGAATTTAGCTACTAGTGTTAAAGTCGCATTTTCGCTGTTCCAATCAAAAGTGGTACTGACCACGATTCCAATTAAATCTTTATCCTTGTTATAAACGGCCCCTCCTTCACATCCATTGACTAAAGGCATTGATGCAACCATCAAGCATTTGTTGTCACCAAAAATATTCGCAATCCGACCCACATTAATGGTATTTAAAAAACACTCATTCCCAAATGGAGTGGAAATCGATTCAATATTTTCAAGCTTACGAATAACATTCATAGGAAGTTTTTCACAATGGTGCTGTGGTCCTTTTTTGAAAACACTTTTCGTTATATCATTGAATATTACCAGAGATGAACTGTTATCACCTAGATTCGCTTCATCTTTTACTCTCATTTTAAATATTATGAAGCTTGACAGAAGAAGTTTATGCAAATTATTGCTCTCATTGTTTGCTGATGTACGTGCAACGAAATTACGTAAAATGTCGTTGAATGAATTCCAAATGTTACGACACTTAAATATCTTTGAAATTGTCGCGTCTGATTTATACAGGACATCATTGTGCTCATAAACGATTTTATAATTATACTTGGCCAAGCAATGATAACGTTGACTTGCGTTTGAGTCAATAATCCGGTTAAATTTCAAGTCTTTTAGGATATCAAAATCAGCAGAAGTATTGACTTCATTTCGAATGTTTTCGAATGAATTGAGTAGCAGTGATGCCGGTGCTAAGCAATACTGATCACTAAAAATAACGCATGACTTCCGAAATAGAGGATCACTTTCTCCGTAAATAATTCCATGATGCAAATTTTGATTCATTGGCTACAATCAATAGAGAAAGATGGTTATTTTTTTCCTCCCAAAATTGACGCAATATTGGTGAAAATTTCATTAAAAAGATTCAGAGACTTACGTTCTATGAAATAATATTAAATATAAAAAAAACTAAATCAATTTCAAAAATGTTTTTAATCAACAAATTACTCGTATATAGAATCTTCAATTTGAGTTATAATTAATGCCTTTACAAAATGTGAATGACGATTTTCTATAGTCGATAATCTATATATATATGGCACCAATACAATTCCAGAATGCCTTTACAGAAATATGACACTAATACACGGTAATAGAGTACATATACTTTGTCTAGATTAATACTGAACGTGCTTTCTTCCATGTATTTGACATTTTATTCGCACAATTGTGATAACGTACATAATCGTATTGTTCGTACATAAACCGTGCGGTACATTTATCACATTGTATTCGTTTGGAATGTTTTGTAGCTTTTTTCTAGCTTAATATTTGTAGCAGGTAGCAGTGATTATTTAAATTGTTGGATTATGAAGTTTCCATACTTGATAACAAACTTTACAAAGAATTTATGTCTTTTTATATTCTTTTAAAGGGAAAAATGTTTTTTTCGAGCATTCAATCAACAATTACGATTTTTGTTCTTGTAAATTGGCATCAATAACAAAAAATAATGACTTCCATAATGAAAGTTTTCGCTTCATGTCACATTTCTTGTTTTCAAATTGAAGTCACGGTGTTATCATTAATACTAAAGTTTTTTCCTCTCAAAATCTATTTATATATTTTTAGTTATTCATCTTTCCTTCATGATGTTATGAAAGTCATATGCTCAGTTTATAATCGTAAACACCAGTGAAAAAACACAAAAAATGACCACACGCGTATTGCAGTTAACAAGTACTCCCATGTTGCGTTAAATATTCTATTGATTTACTTGTATACGGCTGTGTATATATTTATGTGGGGATGCGACGGAATAATCGTAATCAGAAGTCACCAAGCGACTACCCACTTGGTGACTACGGAATTGCGACAGATAGACCAAACGTGATCGATGTGGACGACCAAACAAACATCGATGTGGTCGACGCTGACCCGATAACAAAGAGGTCATAATTATAATATAATCACCCAACAACACAAGTGCTAGCAATTTCCACAAAATCCGTTTGATAGACCATACGTTTGACTTGCCACCTAGTTTTGCTTAATCTTGTGTGTTGTTTGTGTCGTTCGTATTTTTTTACAGCATTTTCAATCTTTGAAGGATGAAAAATAGTGGAATTGATAAGAATTAATTATGACAAGAGATGGCAGGGCGTATCGTATGATGACGGGCACTGGGGGGATTTCTGGATTTACCCCCCACCTGGAGTTGGTAACGTCTGGATTTCTAGATTCGACTGGTCGTGACCCCGTCCCCTAAATTGATTACGATGGTATTATAATGGTCGTAAACCTCCCCCCTAGGATTGAATTATTGACTCGCATTGCACACACGAATTGATTGTTTTTTTTTTGGAAAAAAGCATGATTTATGAGTACGACAGGTCTCTTTCGCTCTCTCTATCGCATCGCATTAATTAAACAAATTCAATGATAACATTTGTATTTTGTTTTGAGAACGTGTGTCATTCGTTAGAATCATAATCAATGCACAAATTTGATTGAAAGCTTACAAAATGCCTGCTATATATAGCGATAACCGAATCATTTTTCTCTGCAGGAAAATGAATATTTAAATGAATGTTTCTCAATTGGGGTATAGCATAAACCTTCCAGGTCGCCTGAATATATCCGGGTTCGACCTGGTTTTCATGACAAACCCCGTCTGATTCCTTGAAGAAAAAACACGAATTTTTTCCGGATTTTTTTCCAAAGAAATAACCCGGATTTGCAAGTGAAAATTTAGAGGCTCATCGCCGAGTTTCGCTCAGACCGGATCGCTATGAATCTGTAAGTAAAATATTTGTTACCATAAAATATTCAATACTAGCAGGCTCGTCTTCGATTGTAGGTCGCTTCGCAGCTCTTATAAATTGAATATTCGCATGTCTGTATCACCATCGAGACAAAATAAGATTTCCAATTATTATTAAAGATAATAGGTTCAAGCCAGAAATAAAATGGATTTCGCATTTTTACGGAGAAAAAATTTAACAATTTGATTTGAATTTTTAGCATTTTCTTTGTTGACGATTATTTTATGCATCATTGCAATGTGCATTGTGCAGTCTGTCCTGTATTTTAATAAGTCTTTATAAAATATATGAAAAACTATCCCTGCGTGTTCACAAAATATAAACAAATCAGTCTTAGTATTTTCGGGGGCCCTGAAGCACATTTTTTCTCAACAATAACACAAAACTCGACAAGCCTTATTAACAAACTTTATCAGTTCAAGAATGGATTAATGCTGAATTTGGAAGATAATTTTAAGTCAGTTCAATAGAGTCAGTCAAAAACTATGAGCAAAAAACATGCACATATCTTTTTATGACGACCTATTTGATAGCATTTTTAAAATATTGCCATGAACAATTTGATACAAAATTTAAGGCTGCAGTCACACTAGGAAACATTCTACTGGAAACAAATTTTCGTAAATGTATGGAAAAAAAGTGTTTGTTTTCAGCATCTTTTTTTTCCATACATTTGCGAAAATTTGTTTTCATGTTTCCAGTAAAATGTTTTTAGTGTGACCGCACCCTAACGATGCATTGACTTTGTTAAAAGAATTGAACAATTTTGATATTGAAAAGAGGTGAGAACTCGTTTGTTAATTTTTTACTGAAATCTCAAGGGTTTTTGAAGTGTTTGGAGCCCCTGAAATTGCGTGTCCCTGAAGCAGCTGCTCCAGGCTATAAATCAAATCAAAATGTTAAATTTTTTCTCCGTAAAAATGCGAAATCCATTTTATTTCTGGCTTGAACCTATTATCTTTAATAATAATTGGAAGTTTTATTTTGTCTCGATGGTGATACAGACATGCGAATATTCAATTTATGAGAACTGCGAAGCAACCTACAATCGAAGACGAGGCTGCTAGTATTGAATATTTTATGGTAACAAATATTTTACTTACAGATTTATAGCGAACCGATCTGGACGAAATCCGGTGATGAGCCTCTAAATTTTAAAACGGCACTGATAACTAATTAAATTATTCATGGTTTTCAGCTAGGGATATATAAATTTAAAAAAGTGACAAACAATCTTCACATACAGACACATACGAACATTCAATTTCATATATGAATGGGTGAGGGCAAAAGTGAGACTTTGATTCACAGCATATTTAAACGAAACAAAAATGAATGATTATTTTTAACCCTCGGAAGGATCCAGCCAGACCTTTTTCGTTTTCAATCGTTAATTTAACATATTTCTAATTAAGCTAGCGACTTGAGCTTCGAGTTACCTGATGCCTAAAAATTCATTGGCTATCGATTTAGAAAAAGAAGCATAAAAAAGGTCCTTAAAAAGGATGATATAAGGATATATAAAAACTACGTCTTCGAACGGACTCCTCGGGTGTGGCTGCCCCCTAATATATTTACATGCATTTGTAAGTGATATCTGTCTTAAGCAACGTTGTAGAGCAGATGAAGTACTACAATTTTTATGAAGACACCATCTCCATATCTCTTATCAGTTTCGCGAAAGTTTCACCTGCTCTACAACTTTGCTGAAGACCGATATCGTTTATGGTTTATCAGTTCCGTGAAAAATGAGATGGCATGCATCACTTATTTCCATACAAATGATTCTAGCACTTCAATTTCTTTGCGTTGTGGTGAAATTCAGCACAAAACATAAGTAAAAAACTTCATAAATGCACATTAAAAAGGAAGTACTGGAGTCTGGTTGAAATTTCGACAAATTTGTATTCTAGGCCATCAAACTAGTGTCTCAATTCCCTTTAGTGAAGTATAACATCAATTAAAAATTTATAAAAACGAAGCATGCGATTTTTTTAAAAATTAAATGTAACATCAACACGAAAAAAAATTTCGAAAAGGAACATCGATCCACATTTTTTCAAAGTGAATCAAGGAAAAAAATATATTGAAATGTAACACGCAGTATTGCACTTTGAAAAAATTCTCTTTCGATGTTACAAATTAAAGAAAATCATTCAGTATTCCCATATTAAATATTAAACTCTCCTGGAGCCAAATAAGTTGTTGAAAACATCAAGGATCGGATGGCTGATTTGAATTCTACATTTTTTCTACAATTTTATGGAACCTAACAACAATAGAGGAAGATTCAGTTTGTGGAAATTTTAATTTGTGGCCAAGATCTTCAATATATCACTTCTTTGATAAATTGATTGATGACTTTTACAGTCATTAAGGCCGCAACTACAATGTTAACGCTTCCACTGGCCTTTCATTTTGGATATTTAGGTTAGGCTTTTTCGAACCGTTCACATTTCGGCTTCCTACTTATTTCCATGTGTTGGTTAGGTTATTTTGTGTTAAAATGTTTATAGACCAAATACTTATTCCAATCAAGAAAGACTACTACTATAATTATCATCACACACTAAATTGTATGTACAAACACAAAAAGATCAGGTTTTTCACGACTCTTGGAGTCGTTTTCCTGTAAACAAAGTATTCAGCCAGTTTTTGGCGGTGTAAATAAATAAAAATAAATAAATTTGAGTTTTATCAGTTTTGGACCAATTTTCATGACTCGTCTCAATATCGAACGAATGGGCAGACATTTCAGACATATTCGAAAACAGACAATTGATTTGAATTCTACAATTTATCTACAATTTTTTGGAACCATTCTTCATTCGAAAAAAAATTCGATTTGTGGATACAGGTGGGCGGAGTAAGAGAATATAATTCATACTCCTACTCCTACTCCCATACAAACGGAAAATGAGTATGTCTCGACATACTCTCATACTCATAGATACTCTTTGAGTAGGAGAGTATATACTCAGAGTATATACTCTTTGATTTTGAGTATGTCCCGACCTACTCATTTTTTACCCAAAGAGTAACTCTACACCTACTCTTTTTCCTACTCTTTTTAATACTCTTTTTCCTACTCATTCGAGTATGTCTCGACATACTCATTTTTTACCTAAAGAGTAACTCGACACCTACTCTTTTTCCTACTCTTTTTCCTACTCTTTTTCATACTCTTTTTCATACTCATTTGAGTATGTCTCGACATACTCATTTTCAATGTTTTTTCTCCTCAGAAAAAGTTATATATCCTTTACATATTTTTCTGAAGGAGGGAAAACGAGTGAGTAAGTGTAGAGTTACCCTTTCGCAAAAAAATGAGTAAGTCGAGACACACTCAAATGAGTAGGAAAAAGAGTAGGCGTCGAGTTACTCTTTAGGTAAAAAATGAGTATGTCGAGACATACTCAAATGAGTAGGAAAAAGAGTATGAAAAAGAGTAGGGAAAAGAGTAGGTGTAGAGTTACTCTTTCGCAAAAATATGAGTAAGTCGAGACATACTCAAATGAGTATGAAAAAGAGTAGGAAAAAGAGTTACTCTTTAGGTAAAAAATGAGTATGTCGAGACATACTCAAATCAGTAGGAAAAGGGTATGAAAAAGAGTAGGGAAAAGAGTAGGTGTAGAGTTACTCTTTGGGTAAAAAATGAGTAGGTCGAGACATACTCAAAATCAAAGAGTGTATACTCTCATACTCAAAGAGTATCTATGAGTATGAGAGTATGTCGAGACATACTCATTTTCAAAATGAGTGAGTATAAGAGTATATACTCGCGAACTCTTACAAACTGTATTTGTGGAAAATACGTTTTCTGACCATGATTTGAGCAGTTTTTCGACAGCAAAATTGTTCTTACATAAAAAAGTAAAAACACTACATTCAAAGTGTGAATAAACTTGGCAACATTGTTGACAGCGCCACGTCAAAGCGGTTGCCCGGTCAACTACAGTCAGTCGTAATGCAAAGTGGCACAAGCATGTCCCGTTTTCTTCATCTAATCGTCACGTTCATACGCGTGTGTGTGTGTGCGAAAAATGGTAAAAGCTTGTGCCACTTTGCAATGCGATTGACGTATGCTTCTGATTGAAAAATAAACAAATTGAAGTTAACTAAAACCAAATGAAAAGTAGTTTAAAAAAAAATTAGAATATTTCATGAAAGAGTA